GAACGAGCTCTCCCTCACCTGCACGTTGGCTCGCACGCACGGCTTGAGAGGAAGATGGGACGCGATGCGGCGCACGAGGCTACGAGAGCTACCGCAGGGCTTCCCATCCTGCAAACAAAGACAAAAATCCCCCGTATAGCCTTTAACAGACTGTTGGGGCAAGTGCTACTATTGAGCACCTGTGAAGGCCGGCACGGCACGAGAGTAGGTGGGTGGGCAACACCAACAGGTACTCAATTGTTTACACATCACATCAGGTAGTCGACTGAGTCAACCTAGATGAGTACTACTCTTAGGTTTTTTCGGTAAAGTCACATAGGTAAAAATAAATAATAAAATAATAATAGAAATAAAATTATAAATCACGACGTTTCGGAGGCAACACAAGTCTCCGTCATCAGGTGGGACCGTCACAGCTAGATTTACTGTATCAAGTGAGGCAAAAATTCCAAGATACAAGTTCTTAAATACAAGTTAAGGGGGGAGGAGGGGGGAGGGGCTTATCTGAAAGTGGTAGCCAATGAATGGAACGTATTGGGGGGGCGGGGCTAAAAGAGAACGACAGGTGCACATGCTATAAGAGAACGACAATGCACATGTTGTTTTACCCAGTGTTGGTTGACAATCCAAATACAAAAAAGGAGAGTACTGTTAAACGCTGGGGATGTCAACACTCGGTAAAGTAGAATAGTACCTGTCAAATAAGATGGTCCAAAAATGCGTAGATCTTTTTTATTTATTTTTACCTACGTGACTTTACCGAAAAAACCTAAGTAGTAGGAATCCTTGCAGTCACGAAAGCTTCAAATCTAGAAACCTAGATGAGGCCTAGGTCCGGTTCAGATATTCGTCACTGGTGTTGGCCGTGAACGGGAATCGAACTCGCGTGCTAACCGCCGCACCACCGCTCCAATTCTGCCCACACACACTCACACACTCACCACCCTCGCGTCACCATCATTCCCTACCCACAGACGTTACACCCGAACAGGCAGCGTCTCACTCACAACGGTGGGTTGTGGCTCTACTTTGAGAAGGAAATGTGCTCCACATTGGGTTATGCTGGCTTCCAAACTACAGCTGGTTACCCAGCAGCATTTGTTTAGCGAGTCTGACCGCTCGTGAGACCCAGAAGGTTGAAACCAGCATAGAGTTTGCGCACTGAGACAAATGCAGCTGGGCGATGCTGGTCTTGACAGCCCCATGGACCTTTGTGTGTGTGTACATTATATATACAGTCTATGGGGACACACTGGAAGCAGTTCGGTTTATGGATGCAAACACTGGTTAATTTCAAGAGCGTGTTAACCGTTAACGCAACATGGAAACATTCCTGGCTGTCAAGTGGTTTTCGTACCTGAGGTGTGCTCATTCTGAGTTGGGTCACGGCAAATTCTTCGTCCTGTCCCTTTACCGCCACATTCTCTCCACTACCACGGCGTTCCGCAGCTGAAAACAGATACATGTAACACAGGATCGTTGACATGAACTAGAACACGATGACACCCATAGCAAGACACCACACAATATGAGTACACAATATGTATTGCACAATGTGAACAAAAAGACTTTGTCCCAGTGAATTGATTGTACCAACTGTGGGTAGAAATGTAATCTCAACAAATACCACCACAGCTCGCCATCTCTTCCTTCCATAGTGCCAGAACCCCTCTGCTATCGTACAGCATGCCCTGCAATCTCATCACCATTATCCAACTTTATGCCTTTCACTTTGCTACGCGGTCTCGCACACGTTCGACAAGACCCACTCTTAAAATGTAATCACCATCACCTGCCTGCAGGTCACACGATCCCCCCCCCCTCCACGGAAAACACGTGGGGAAAAGAATGTCCCCTCGATCTTGTGCGTTCTCGCCGGTGCCGATGTGAAATTCGTGCCCCCCAGAGGCTCCAATGAACACGAGGGGAGGGGGGGGGGCCGTGGTGGTGTCGTACCGAGGCTGTCAGTCAGACAGCCACACGGAACGTTGTCATCATCATCGGCCACGCACGCATGCCTGCCGCGATGTCGTAACACAACAGCCTCGGAAGCTTTCGGAACCCGAGGCCACATCGCCACGCCATCGCCACGCACGGTCTGACCTCTAGTGCAAGGTCAGCATGGTGAGTCAGCGCTGCAATCTTCGCAGAGTCACAAAGTTTATTCGCACATCCATTCCCGCCCGCTGATTTTCCAATCTCTTCGCCCATCCTCTCTGCGTGCCCATGACCCCCCAGGCGGGAAAGAGTCGCTTTCGTGTGGCAACTAGCGCAGGATGTCCCGCAGTAATGTAGCGTGGTGATGCGGGGTGATGCGGGGTGGACGCGGCGTGGTGGTGATGGGAGGCAGTGCTGTGATTGCGTACGACTGGTGGTGATGTCGTGTGTGTGTGTGCACAAGTGGGCTTTAGAGTTTGGTGATGTTGGTGATGTTGGTGGTGAGCTGTGTCCGTGATGGTTGTTGATGCGGGATTATGGGTGATGTAGTGCGGTGCGAGAGACGTGCTGTGTGATGTGGAGTGTGTGAGGAGTGGTGTGTGATGTGAGGAGTGGTGTGTGATGTGAGGAGTGGTGTGTGATGTGGAGTGGTGTGTGATGTGAGGAGTGGTGTGTGATGTGAGGAGTGGTGTGTGATGTGAGGAGTGGTGTGTGATGTGAGGAGTGGTGTGTGATGTGAGGAGTGGTGTGTGGAGTGCTGTGATATGTGATGTGAGGAGTGGTGTGTGATGTGAGGAGTGGTGTGTGGAGTGCTGTGATATGTGATGTGAGGAGTGGTGTGTGATGTGAGGAGTGGTGTGTGATGTGAGGAGTGGTGTGTGATGTGGAGTGGTGTGTGATGTGGAGTGGTGTGTGATGTGAGGAGTGGTGTGTGATGTGGAGTGGTGTGTGATGTGGAGTGGTGTGTGATGTGGAGTGGTGTGTGATGTGAGGAGTGGTGTGTGATGTGAGGAGTGGTGTGTGATGTGAGGAGTGGTGTGTGATGTGGAGTGGTGTGTGATGTGATGAGTGGTGTGTGATGTGATGAGTGGTGTGTGATGTGAGGAGTGGTGTGTGATGTGAGGAGTGGTGTGTGATGTGTGATGAGTGATGTGAGGAGTGGTGTGTGATGTGAGGAGTGGTGTGTGATGTGGAGTGGTGTGTGATGAGGAGTGGTGTGTGATGTGGAGTGGTGTGTGATGTGGGGAGTGTGAGGAGTGGTGTGTGATGTGTGATGAGTGATGTGATGAGTGGTGTGTGACGTGATGAGTGGTGTGTGGAGTGTGTGAGGAGTGGTGTGTGATGTGATGAGTGGTGTGTGATGTGAGGAGTGGTGTGTGATGTGAGGAGTGGTGTGTGATGTGTGATGAGTGATGTGAGGAGTGGTGTGTGATGTGAGGAGTGGTGTGTGATGTGGAGTGGTGTGTGATGAGGAGTGGTGTGTGATGTGGAGTGGTGTGTGATGTGGGGAGTGTGAGGAGTGGTGTGTGATGTGAGGAATGGTGTGTGATGTGAGGAATGGTGTGTGATGTGAGGAGTGGTGTGTGGAGTGCTGTGGCGGTGCCGCGAGATTCGCTGTGACCCAGAGCTTCCGTCTGTCCCCGTGTCACCGTGTCTCTCTCTCGATCCCCGTGTCTCTCAACCTCTCCGTATTCGTCTCCTGGTGCCCCCCTCCCATCCCTGTGTCTGTCTCCCCGTGTCTCTGTGTCACCCCGTGTCTCTGTGTCTCCCCGTGTCTGTCTCCCCGTGTCTCTGTGTCTCCCCGTGTCTGTCTCCCCGTGTCTCTGTGTCACCCCGTGTCTCTGTGTCTCCCCGTGTCTGTCTCCCCGTGTCTCTGTGTCACCCCGTGTCTGTCTCCCCGTGTCTCTGTGTCACCCCGTGTCTCTGTGTCACCCCGTGTCTCTGTGTCTCCCCGTGTCTGTCTCCCCGTGTCTGTGTCTCCCTCTGTCTCTCCACTCACCGCCACCTCCACGCGTTCTCCAAGCGATTACATTTTCCAGACCGCACGCGTGGGGGGTTGTCCTAGACCGCCCTCCCCAGACCGCCTATTGGTCGGTGCGCGCGCGCTCCTCAGCAGCGCGTCCCCCGATTGGCTCGACCGCGTTGAGGCTGCCCAATGAGAAGGCGAGGCGGCACAGACCGCGCGTATCCCATGTGGGAAATACAAAGGACAAATCCAGCCGGCTTGCCAACTCCGATAAGCGGCTTCCCGTTAAGTCAACACGTGTGCTAGGAATCTTGATTTAAAACTTTCGTTACTGCAGGAATCCGTACTCTTTGGTTCTTTCGGTATTTTATTTCTACCTATGCAACTTTACCGAAAGAACCAAAGAGTATGTGCTAAGAAATTAAATATATATACTACTGCATTACCAAACTTATTTTATTTTACCCAGTAAGGCATACCGAGCTATTTAAACTTTTTATTTCAGAAGCGACCTGGCCACAAATGACAGCTCAAGCAAGTGCTTATCGTCTTGGAAACGTATAGCAGCAACAGACTTGATGCTAAATACGAGGGGGCAAAACGGAGGACACGGAGGGGAAAAAATCCACGTGGAATCCATGGGGAGTTAGACGTGAAAATTCCAAATATACAGCAGCAGGCGTCAGGGTGGAGATCGAACCCACCACGATCTCTTGTATACCAGGCGAGGTAGTTAACGTTTCACCATCTCAGTGCTCGAGAATTCGGGACACTGCCCGAAACGCCGCGCCTTTTTAACTCCCCCACCCCATCTGAAGGCCACATTGACGAATGTGAAGTTTTATGAAAGAGCCCGATTGGTTAAAAGGGATGGGTAGTGGTGGTTGAGCCAATCACGGTCGTTGGTCGACAAATAACGTGGTGCGGGTCACAGCCAAACCACGTGTCGATTCGTCCATTACTTCCAATGCATGCGTTCGATTGGACTAAGTCGATCCTGCGGTCACCGCTTTGGTTTCTCCATTCGCAAAGAAAAAACAGAAATATGCCAAAGTACAAAAAAACGCTTCTCAAATATTACACAAATGTATAAGACAAAAGTTGGAATACGAATTTTTTAATTAAAACTTTCAATCCATAGACATACATTTCATATATTTGTAACAATTTGTGGCATTAGCAGTGTCTTGGACTCGAAGGATAAAAATGAGATACACATTGTGTGGATGCCAAAATTTTCTGATAACATAGGCCCGATGCAACAGTTTACCAAGCAGAACAGTATGCTATACTGTATTGAACCATTCAACCAACACTTCGCAATGAACAAAAATTAAAGTTGCTCTTTGCCTTATCAATACTTTAAGGGCCATTGCCCCATTTTAGCCCATTATTTTTTCTGGTCAGTGGTTGAAACGCAAATACAGAAGTGCCGGTACGAAACTTGATCCTGCAGCCCACGGCCATTTCCAAATATTGGTGATGTTAGGTTAAAATGTTAAGTGTGCCAGTATACACATTTGGTGTTCCAAGTGGTGCATACAGCCGTGCACCAGCCCATTTCATACACTGTTTAATGTTATAAGGCAGTGTTCACAACTTAGCAAGTATTACATTTAAAAAATGCATAACACGGGGGGGGGCATAATCAACTTTTTTTTAAATCAATTATGCTCCATGATTATATTACAATTTTTTATCGTTCAACCACAGTGGTTATTCCCATGGGCAATGCCGTTTATAGGAATAGTTAAGTTCTTGTTTTTCAGCCCAATCTTCAGTTCTGATTTTCAGCAAACGGCCATGATGATCTCTTTTCTTTTCTCTGCGTAAACCCGTAACTCTTCTGGTCACTCTGCAAGGTAAAACAAAACACTATTGGTCAACAAATGAAATACTGCAAACGTATCACCACATGGAACTAAAAACATTTTGACCAACACAACCTTGTTAAGCCAACACAATTGGGATAAAACAGAGATATGCATTTTTACCAGCATAACCGTGAAAAGTAGGCAATTGTTTGCAAATAATTTCATTTAAATTATACCAACCTGCAACATCTTACAGGAACCATAAGGTAAGCATTATATACATTCATTGAAATAGATGTTTAAGTTCACTATGACCTAACAATTTGTGCAACTAGATATCCAAAACGTTGTATGAAATCTAAGTATCGTTTGTAAAATATTATTTTCACACAGATTTGGATGTATTTTTCTAAGCCCATGTGTTACAATATTGTCATGAAAGTACAGCTGTGCCTCAGTAAATTGGGTAACGGATATGGCAGTTTTCCTCATGAATATCAGTAGAGGGAGCCAGGTAATCATCATCAGCACAACTACGGACCTCAACCCTGCCCACCACATAGACCCCTGCACAAAACCTCAAGAGTTTTACCTGGGCACAGAGCAGTCGCCCCAGATCCCAACCTCCTCTGCTCTTTGGGTCAGGAATACCAGGCTTCATCCATCCACGCTGCTGGCCGATGCCCACAGCAGAACACACGCCTGCTAGGAAACAAAACAATTGCCCAAGTATTATTCAATGACTCTCACCTCTCAAATGATACTCAAGAGACTGTCAGGTGCAATTGACGTTAACGTCTTACATGATTCGATGACAAACGTGACATGTAGACCGTATGTACAATATGTGCGGCCTATTACAAACCAATTGGAAATTGCTGGTTATGTTTAAGTGTGTATGAAACACTTCTTTAATCGAGTCACCATCATTCGTAAGCTGTTATGCTGCAGCATATTACATTAGTGTATATAAAAAATAATACACGTGCATTCAATACTACGATTATTTTTTATTATATTAACCTTTCTTAAGTCTGCACAAGGCATAAACAATTTATAAATTCAAATCAATACAATCGTTCAGGATGTCTGCATCGACTCGCTTGCTATTCATCATTCTCTTTGTTCGTTACATCGTCTGGAGGTGCAATTGCATTTATATGAAAATCTGTGCCTCAGTGGAAATGGGTAACGGTTATGGCAGTCGTCCTCATGAACAAACTCAGTAGAGGGAGCCAGGTAATCATCATAGGCACAGCTAAGGACCGACACTGACCACCACACAGATCCTACACACACCACCTCACACGAGTTGTATTACCTGGGCACGTGCATCAGAGGCAACCTCTCTTCACACCAGGCACCGGACTCTTGTTCACTGGGCCAGATCCCAAACTGGTGCAGCTCACACAATCTTTGCTGGACCATGAACGCCGACTTCGTTCATCCACTCTGTTGGCCGATGCCCACAGCAAAACACAAAACGTTAATTGTATACGAGACTTCTGAAACGATTACAACTTAGCATATATTAGTGTCTCAAGATACTGCCGGACGGAATTGACGTTTGCATTCTTGACGAGTTCGATAAGATTAAGATGGTATGTACTAGAATATACATTTGTGGGGCTCAAACTGCCTGGAAATTGCTGGTTATATTTAACCAGCAATGTCGATGGGTCACCAGTCTAGAGGCAGTTGTGCTGAACAGATAATTAAGCGTAAACTTAAGACCCTATAGCTTCCATACAAGTTACACTTTGCAAAACACAATTAAATCCATCGTATAGCTTTATATTTAGATACAATACGCAATTAGGTGGTTATTTATAATTAGTAATGTACTAGAGTTATTACTTGAACGAGGATACGTCTAAAAAATGTTATAACAGACCTAGCTTCAAATGTCACGCCAACATAATTTTGTGGAATATCCATCACATGATTCCTTGCACAGTACTCCAGAGACATACAACGTGAATAACCAGTGGCTTTTAGCTCCATATGGTCGACAATTCTAAATGACGAGCTGTGGGCTCGTGGGTTAATTACACATCGCATCCACCTTCTCGTTCCCATCAGTCCCCCTGCGTCTTGAGACACAGCTAAATAGACATACATTAGTAATCTTATGTGTATTACTTAATATGCATGGGAACATCTTGCCAGTACAAAGGGTCCCATAGAAACTGCTCAACCCGAGCTACAAATACTTGCGATACATGCATTTCATTTGTAAGGTTTGGCATGTCTAAGGCCATAAAAAACAAGGCTGTCTCTGGTGTAGGCCAATCAGTTTAAAAGACAATCGATATATATCAAAGCATGTTTGAATGTTTTGCCACATGTATGCGTGGCTAACGCAAGCTTGATTCCTTGCAAAATGCATCTACCTGGTGTTTGAGCATCTTCACAACTCCCGTATTGACATAAATGATAAATGCTTATTTTTGTTTGTATTACTTAAACGGAAGTGGTACCTTACCTGCTCACGACGGTTCCGCAAAGGCCTCAACCACCGTCTTGACCATCGGGTCGGGCCCGGACACGTGGAGTGCGTAGGCCACGCCATTGGGTGGAGGCGTGCACGCGAAACATCACGCTGCGTTCCGTGTGCATTCTTTGCTATTTAAAACGCGCCGCTAAGACAAATGTGTTTGCAGCGAAGCTGTAAAGAAGACGCCGACGAGGCCGATGATCGGAGTCGTGGGTGAAACGGGAGAAGGCTCGCGAGAGATGCCTTTGGATGGCTTTGGATTGCGAGGGCGCGCCGCGAGATCGAGAGACGCGATGGGCGCGCGCCCTCGGCTCTTATAGCCGAGACGACGTCACTACGGGTCCCCGCCCGCATTCAACTTCAACAAAGTTGAACCAAACAATAAACAAACGCGGCAGCTGTGTTACGGTACCAGTACGTGTCGCCCGCAGATTGCAGACTGAGATAAGGCTGAGATCCGTGGAGCTGCAAAACTTTTTCTCATTTAAGCAGCAACAACAATTACAACAAAACACAACGCAACGGTTTTTATTGATCTGCAGCTCATCAGTAGGGTGTAGCCTATGGGTCGTTTGTGTACAAATCACCTTCAGTGGTTGTTGTGGTTGTTGTTGTTTGACTTGCATCCCACTGGGATTTTTGCACAGCGTTGGTGTACGGTGCTTTTTTACTGGAAGACTTTGCAGTTTTTTTCTTGGATTTTTCTGTTTGCACATAGTCACTTTAAGATGTTTTATTGTTCATGTTTTTTGTTGTTGCGGTTGCACCCGATTCAAGAGCCGAATGGCTCACAGGGCTATACCAATTGAATGAAGCTGAAAACTGAATTACCACTCTGCAAAAACGAATCAAATGAAAATCTTAAATTGAGCCGAGTCTGTTTGGGGTTTCTCGCCCGGAAAATACCTCCGCGCGCGGCACACCACATCAAGTATGCCCGTCGCATGCGACTGCTGCTCCTACGGGTCGCGTGAAACCCACCGCGGTCTCGCAGCGTGTTGAGTTGACGAATGGAGCTCAGGATCGATAAGAGAGTGGTGATTCCGGGCCACGGCGAGTGAGTCTGAGACCAATCCCTCTCGCCAGCGACCCGCACGAACCCGTGCGGTGAAGTATGGTCAAGCAGCCCACGTGGTCGACGGCACGCATTCATGCCAGCAGTGGATTGACCAGGGCTCTGTGCACAATCACAGCATGATAACGTGATGGGTGGACGTGAACGCTGTCCAGTACTTGTGTTTTGCGTTGCGCATTAAGGTCAAACCATTTGTAAACTTTGGTTTAACACGTAGGCTTTCGACACTATGGGAACCTCATTTGCCAGTAAAAATATGATAATTGGTTTTTTACCCTTCTATCTGGCAACAAAACTGACACCTTTTTACAAGGAGTCATGTTTGCATAGACCGCAATACCTGCAGTCATAATACAAACTAAAGACATAACTCTGATAATGTGCACTGTCCTTGAAGTTGATTGGTCCACACCCGAGGCTCTAAGGAATCTCTTGGCGAACGCTGAGCCGCCACATTCACCAGTCGACAGGTGCTGCTGCTGTTCACCAGCGAAACGTCACGGTCCCCATCGACTTGTCAACGTCGTGAGATGGAAGCTCTCCAACACAGCCGTGTGCTGAAGGAGTAGTAACGCATTGCCACCTTTTGTGTACGTGACAAATCTTACTAATTGGCTGTGTCGGATGGTGGCGGGTTTAACAACGCATTGATATTTACGCGATCTAACCCCAAACACCTTTATTATTGATAATATACATAATTATATTGGTCGTGAAAGCTTACGTGTTAAGCTGCTGCTGTGTTTGTAGTGGTATACAACCATAATTAACTACAAAAAACATAAACTCAACACATTCCGCAATAAGACCGTGGCCGTAAAAAAATACGTTTATCTAATATTCGACGTTTCGGGCAATGGGCCCTTCTCCACAACACTTTGGCAGGCCAGAGGAGGCAGAGCCACACTTTTGCGATGGTGGAAATCGTCGTTGTCGGTTCTAATTCTGACCAGCAGATGGAGGCACAGATACAGACAAAGGCAGCAGACCCAGCATCGTGGACGACACGGTAGGGGCCACTCGTTTTCTTCAACCCTCGTCTAATCCATAACTCGTGGTGAAGTATCGTCAAATAACCCTCACGACCAGCGCGGCGTGGGGAGGCCTCGTTCAGCAGTGGAATGGCAAGAGCACTCGACGTGTATTTATCCACGGATTTCAACTCGTGTTCTGCGAAGTGATATCTCCCCGAGTAATAACTTTATTCATGGTGTGTGCTGATAATATGGCTGCAATCAAGACAAGAGAATGTGCACGAAGCACACAGCCGTTGTGCATTATGCAAAATAACCCACCAGAATTTCCTGAACAATACTGCATTTTTGCAGTATACACGAACTCATGGCCTTCCTGCGCTAGTTTTCTATTAACATGGCTTTTCTCGTGCCCTACTGATTTGATTCTAATGTAACCACAGCCAGTGAGATGCCAAACTCATGTTAATGTCAACAATTATTTGCGGATAGCAGGAATGATAATTACGATAATCCAGAATGTGCCTGGCCTCGCTAAATCTCTGTAGCTAAGCAACCTCGAGCCTGGTTAGTACTTGGACGAGAGGCTGGCAGCCTGGGAATCGTGTAACAGGTTTAGTCGTAGACTTGGGCTGAGTCGTAGCCAGGAGATGGCAGCACAGAAAATGATTCGAGAATATAATGATGCCTGACCTTTAATTGTTAATCTCTGGCATACGCGTGTATTCTCATGGTTCTCCGGTTACCGGACATGACCAAACCAACATATAAGAATGGAAATGGCAAAATATCCCAATATGGGTTCCTCCTGAATACGTCTTGAGACTCAGGCTCTCCTGGATTATTTGTATGATTACTGCTTTGAGGTATTTACCAGACACAGGTAGCATGTGCACTGTTCTAAACGTGCTTACTTTAAGCGTTAAACTTGCGCACAGTCAAAGCTCCTAGGAAGTTTTCCAGTGGCAAAATCCCAAACAGAATATTATTTATTGTTCAACCGATTAAATGTGAAACATATGCTGGGTCCCACCAGGCCTGTCGCGAGGCATTAGCGTGAGCATTGTAGACCATTCCCAGTCGTGCAGACCCCTCGTGGCGTTGGCAACAGCTCGTCGTGAACTGTGAGATTATCATTGTCACCCTTTCCACTGACCAACCCCAGACACATTTCCCAGGCAGCCGAGGTTGATCAAAACTGTGCAGCGCATACTCTTTGGTTCTTTCGGTAAAGTCACGTAGGTATAAAATACATAAATCACGACGTTTCGATCGCAACACAAGCGGTCGTCCTCAGGCGGAAAAAAATATAATCCAGCAGTGGAACTGCTAAACTGTGCAAGTGCACTTTAGCAAAATGCAACACAATACCGCCAGATCTCGATACAATTACATTTACGCCACCCAAACAAAGACGCCAACTCCTAGACTCTCCAGATCAAAAGCTGAGTGGCAACCTTACTTAAGATTGTTGTAGATGGGCCCATAACGTCTCCACGAATGCAAATACAACACGAGCCGTATGGGCCCGTATCCTTCCAAAAGCATTTGTTTAAGCAGCCAACGTTTGGATCGCTTTCAACTTCATGAGTTTCATCAGCAGAGTGTGGCCTGTAAACACGTGGTTCAGAGAGTGTTATACACAGGCGTGCGCCACCACTCTTCGGCCGTGGTGGCCATGCACGCGGCCTGTCATCCATCGCTAGGGATGCAGCCAGGGTCGCTGGATCGCACAAATGATGTGAAACTCCCTTTCGGTGAGCGTCACGGTGCCTTAGCGTGGCTCGCCGGGAGAAGGTAGTACAACAAGTGGACTATTCATCAGCTGCTTCCATTTGTATGGCAACAGAGTGTCACCCCCTCACGGAGAGCATGGGGTCTGTCTGGCTGCGCCGGTTTCCTTCCACTTGAAGTGTAAACACCTCCGATTCGCGCCGTTGGCTGCGTGCGGTGCGACAGAAGTTAAACAAATTCAGCTCAGTAGACCTTACCTGGTAAAATAAAACGTTTCGTTTAGTTACCACTGTCAAGTCACTCCCCTTGCATCATTGTCACTGCAACGTCGGGAGACTGAGCAGCGAGACAAGTGGAGGCAGTGTGCTGCCTCACATCAGAGAGGCCACCTCACCCCCTCCCGGGCAACGCCGTCAATCAGCCTCTGACAGCAGAGTCGTGACCAAGCCTCTAAGGCGCACGTGATGCAGGACATTCACGCGAAATATCGGCTGCCTTTGATGTTTCCAATATTGCATTTCAAGACGCACGTCACATATGGATTTATATTGCATAGCACGATTCGGATTTGTGTAGAGTTCACATGCACGTGTATCCAAACATGTCACAATGCAGTGCAAACGTTTTGACAATGTTGTGAAACTGACGTGAATTATTTAAGAGAAATTCTGTCATTTAAAAGGAATTTTATTTATATTATTTATTTGTGCAAGAGTAAGACGAAGAAGAAGGAGCCTTTGTCAATCCACTGCTGAGTGAAGGCCCGACACACACAAGAACAAAAGATCCCCTGCATAGTCTTAACAGACTGTTGGGGCAAGTGCTGTGAGCGAGCTCCTGTAAAGGCCGGCACGGTAAACGAGGGGGTGGGTGGCCAGCACCACGCCCAACCGCCTTTGTCTCCCTAGTGGCAATTATTTACACACCACACTACGTACTCATTTTGAGGATGAGTCGACCCAGGGGAAGCCCAGGACCGGTTCAAATAATTGTCACTGGTCTTGTCCATGAGCTGGAATTGAACTTAGGTGGCCGGGTTCGTAGTGCAGCGCGCTACCCACTACACTGCCGCTCCCATACACACACACACTGTGTCAGTCATGTGGTTTTAACCATATTTCACTACACTGGTCAGTCCGGGTTGGTGATGTGTGAGCCCAGGGCCGATTCATGCTCGACACTGATGTTAGCCGTTGATGGGAGTACAACTCAGATGGCTGGGTTCATAGTGAAGTGCACTCATCACTGTGCTCATGCACCACCCCAAATGTGACGTCCATTGAGAACAGGGAGACCTGAATTTAAATAAGTACACAGTTTTAAACATATGATCTCATCTGAAGGTGCACTGCTGTATAAGTACATTTTACATTATGTTAATAAACACCTACTCTATGTCATTTGCCGTAGGGTTTGTAATTGGCAGCTAAAGTGGCCATTATATGCGGTAGTAAAGTGGTAGCTGATGTTAAATGTTAATGTAATATGTTTACCCAGAGAAACCTCAATACGTTTTC